ATGGCATCTGCTAAGGGCGACCTTCCCACAGTGGGCAGGTCCCAGGCCTGGGTTAGCGCTCTTCCCCACTCCTTGGGCACTGGAAGTCTGGGGGTTGGGGCGTGGTTCAGGTCCTCATGACACTGTCCATGGTGCTAAGGAGTCCGGAGGAGGGATGTGCACCTAGCCAGGGCTGGGAGATTTCCTGGGAGGAGGAGGAATTAGATGTGGAGAAAGAGGGACAGCAGAAGGATTCTTTTACTGATGTGCTGGCAAGAGAGGGCTTGTGGCCAGGTGAGCAGGGAGGGGCCGCGGAGGGTGGCATCCCACCTTCATCATCTGTGGATGCTCACTGTGGCAGACACACATGACAGAGGGAAGAGCCAGCAAGGGAAGTTACTCAGTGAGCAGCAGTGGATGATGACAATTGCAAGGGGCCTTATCCTGGGGCTAGTCAGGAGGAGGCACTGGGGAGACCTGGCCCCACGTTGAAGTCAGGCTTGGGAAACTGGGGCCCAGGGGATGAAGTGAGTGGGGCAGCAGAGTCTTGAGCCTCCTGCAAAGAGGCAGGGGTCGGGGTGGGGGGAAATGGGCGGGGCCTGGGAAGCAGCTCTGACATGCATCTACTTGCTACAATTAGAGAAAGGCTCCCAAAGCCAGGCCTGTGGCTGCTGCATCAACAGGGCAGCTCGTGGAGTATGCTGAGCTGGAAGGGGAGGGGCTAGAATATACGCATGGGAGTCCGGAACAGGTAAGATTCCCAAGGTGCTGAGGCCGGAGAATGGCGTGAACCCGGGAGGCGGAGCTTGCAGTGAGCTGAGATCCGGCCACTGCACTCCAGCCTGGGCTACAGAGCGAGACTCCGTCTCAAAAAAAAAAAAAAAAGATTCCCAAGGTGACCACACAGGAAAGCTGTTCCTGTACCTGGGTGTATTCTGAGATATACTGGGTTTCCCCACAGCAAAACCCACCACGGCTGTTAGTGTTGATACCAGCTCCTACCAAGTACCTCAGTGCCATGCAAAGGGTTTCACCAGAGTATCACTTACAGCCCCCCAACTCCTACTAAAACTCGGTCATGTTTTATTTTAAGCAACTCCACAGCAATGTATATATTAGATGTTACTGTGCTTTATGACACAGAAGTCTGCATAATGTATAAAGTCTTTCTTTATGAAATTGTACCAAACACAGGATGCTGCTGGGAATGTCCTCAGAAATCTGAAGCTACACACGTACACTCAAGCCAAAGCCCACCACATCCTCCACCATGCAAAGGCTAACGGAGCTTTTATACACCTTCATTTGGAGCCATTTGCAAAGTAAATGAATGTCTTTTTTTATTTTAGAAAATAAAAGTGATATTGCTGATGGATTTGGAGTATCTTTAGGATTCAAACAGTTGCAAAGGCACTTCCCAGATCAAAATACACGAGCATTTCTCTAAGGAATGTTGGCATCAACAGAGTACAGGAACCTCTCCTGGACATACAGCTATACCTCTCAGTCCATCCTTACGGTTTCAGACCTTCAGGGCCTGAGGAGGATGGGGCCTCATGTAAACATTACTGGAAAGAACACAGGTGGATGGAGCCCAGCATGGGAAGATGGGAGTCCTGGGTCTGAGTCTAGACTCTGCTTCTAACTGCCTGTGTACCCCTCCAATAAGTTGCTTACCCACTTTTTGCCTCAGTTTCCTCATCTATCCAGGAGGAACAAGGGCTCACCTGTGATGATGTATATGAATGTTCTCTGAAAGTATTAAAGCATGAAACTAACTGGAAATACTAACAACACATATGGAAGAGAACACATATAGAAATTAGTCTAAAAACACATACGGAAGAATTCTAAGTATTATGTGTAACCTTAGGTTAATATGCTCTAAACTTCAGAGGAAATTGAACAGTTTTCTAGCAAAATTCAATTTAATTGAATTAACAAATAAAGATTCAATTTAAATTGAATTAGAAAAGAAAGTACTTAAAGTATTAGAAAAGCCTGAATAGACAGGCAACCACAAAAGAAATGAAAAAGGCTGTTAAAAGATCTACCATCTATCATTAAAAAGGTGTCAAACCCAGATGATTTTGAAGGCAAGCTGTATGGAACCCTTAAGGGATAGATAATTTTTACATTAGTCAAAATATTCCAGAGCATAGAAAGAGTCATATTCCAATTATTGTGTATTATACAAATACCAAAATATGATAAAGAAAACATGTCAAAAGAAAAAACAAAAGTCAATCTAGTTATGGCCATTAGTGCAAAAATTCTAAAATATTAGAAATATTTAATACCATATTTAAAAATGACACACCAAGATCAACTATGGTTTATTCCATGGATAAGAATGCAAGAATTGGCAAATCTTTCAATCCCTTACTTTAGTGAAGGCCACATGTCAACAGATAGCAGAGGCATTTGACAAAATTCAGCAGCTATTCCTGATAAAACAGTATAAAATAGAAATAGAATAGGATGGATAAACTATATAGAAATAAAACATTATAAACACGAGTATTAATCAAAAATTATCTGTAAAGATTATATTAAATGGATGAACTACTAAAGCATTAAAATCAGGAACAAAATAAGCATGCTTTCACTTCTTTTATTCACATTTTTAGAGGTTCCAGCTTTTGAAATAAGACAAGAAAATAAAATCAACACGTAAATGTTGAAAACTGGGATCATTATTTGTGGATATGACTGTACAGGTATAAAATCTCAATGGCATTTAGGAAGGTGGCTGGATTCAAGCTAAAAATACAAAAAAGCAGTGCCATTCTTTTATGGTCACTATAAGTAGTTCAGGATGGAGATGTGACAAAAATTCACATTTGCATTAACGACGAAGCAATTGAATACCTCTGGATAAATGCCATATGAAAGGTACAAGACTGACACAGGCATATCTCATTTGTTTGCATTTTGCTTTATTGTGCTTGGCAGATACTGTGTTTTTTATAAATTGAAGGATTGTGGCAACCCTGTGTCAAGCAAGTCTATCAGCATCATTTTTCCAACAGTATGTGCTCATACCATGTCTCCACGTCACAGAGAAATCGTTCATAAAAGTGTCAGTCAATCGATGTGGCAAACTTTATTGTCTTATTTTAAGGAATTGCCATTGCCACCCCAGTCTTCAGCAGCCATCGACATTGAGGTAGGACCCTCCCCCAGCAAAAAGATTACAAGGTTACTTGCTGAAGGCTCAGAAGATCACCCGCATATTTTAGTAATAAAGTATTCTATTAAGCTATGTAATTTTTTAGACATAATGCTATTGCACACTAGACTACAGTATAGTGTAAACATAACTTTTATATGCACCAGTAAATCAAAAAATTCATTGACTCATTTTATTGCAGTATTTGCTTTGCTACAGTCTGGAACCAAACCTGCAAAGTCTCCAAGGTATGCCTGTGTAAAGAAATGCCATATACATGGGCAAGGGCTTCATGACTAAAACACCAAAAGCAATCGCAACAAAAGCCAAAATTGACAAATGGGATCTAATCAAAGTAAAGAGCTTCTGCACAGCAAAAGAAACTATCATCAGAGTGAACAGGCAACCTACAGAATGGGAGGAAATTTTTGCAATCTACCCATCTGACACAGGGTTAATATCCAGAATCTACAAGGAATTTAAACAATTTACGAGAGAAAAAAATCCCATGAAAAAGTGGGCAAAGGATGTGAACAGACACTTCTCAAAAGAAGACATTTATGTGTCCAGCAAACATATGAAAAAAGCTCGTCATCACTGATTATTAGAGAAATGCAAATCAAAACCACAATAAGATACCATCTCAGGCCAGTTAGAATGATGATTATTAAAAAGTCAGGAAACAACAGATGCTGGTGAAGCTGTGAAGAAACAGGAACACTTTTACACTGACAGTGGGAGTATAAATTAGTTCAACCATTATGGAAGACACTGTGGTGATTCCTCAAGGATCTGAAACCAGAAATATCGTTTGACCCAGCAATCCCATTACTGGGTATAGACCCAAAGGATTATATTTAACTCATTCTACTATAAAGACACATATACATGTATGTTTACTGCAGCACTCTTTACAATAGCAAAGACTTGAAACCAACCCAAATGCCCATCAATGCTAGACTGGATAAAGAAAATGTGGCAAATATACACCATGGAATACTATACAGTCATAAAAAAGAATGAGCTCATGTCCTTTGCAGGGATATGGATGAAGCTGGAAGCTATAATTCTCAGCAAACTAACATAGGAACAGAAAATGAAACACCAAATGTTCTCACTTGTAAGTGGGAGTTGAACAATGAGAACATATGAACACAGGGAGGGGCACATCACACACCGGGGACTGTTGTTGGCCGGGGGGCACGGGGAGGGAGAGAATTAGGACAAATACCTAATGTGTGTGGGGCTTAAAACCTAGATGGCGGGTTGATAAGTACAGCAAACCACCATGGCACATGTATACCTATGTAACAAACCTGTACATTCTGTACATGTATCCCAGAACTGAAAGTAAAATTTAAAAAAAATGCCTGTATAAAGAATATACACCTTATATTAAAGTTACTAAAGCAAGATTGGAATAAATAGACATATTATGTTCCTGGATATAAAGACTCACTTTCAAAAGAGAAAGCCTTTCTCAAGTTATAAATAAGCTTAATCAAATTCTAATAAAAATCTCAATGGATATTTGGGAGAATCATTAGACATATTGATATTAACATTGATATTAAAAAATAATATCAATGAAATTTTTGGAAACGGATAGGAATGAAGTTTTTGACTCACCAGATATTAAACTTGCCATGAATTTGATATAATCAGAGTAATATAGCTAGGTTCAGAAATACACAAATCTATCAGTGTGACACTACTCTGGCAGTGAGTGAGAACTAAGTCTACTGTGGCTGGGCCCTTACATCATAAGGCCTGTTTGTTACAGCATTATAAAAGTGTTAGAGAACAGTGTGGCCAACGTAAAGGTAACCTTGGGTAGGGGCAGCCGTACTCTCAGGAGGGGACACCGTGCCACAGATGCAACTGGCTGGGACATGGCCCTGGTTGGGGTGGCCACTGCAGGCCTCCTTGAGGAGGAAATGGTTGAGGTGGGTGCCATGGGGAGTGCAGGAGGAAAGGGATTAAAAACCCAGCACGGGAGGTAGCATTATCCTCCTCAACAAGCATGGATGTGAAGGTCCGGGAGGCCGAGAAATGCCTGAAGTCACAGAACCAACAGAGTGGCACCCAGATTCTACACAGGCTCCTGGCCTGCAAACACACGCTTCCCTAGATGTGCTGAGAGCTGCAGCCACGGTCTGGGTCATGGTGATGGGTCCCTGCCCTCACCTGGGAGGCAGGGGACGGACATGGGTGCTGCCACGGAGAGGCAGAAGCAGCCCAACTGCGTGGCGGAGAGGGGAGGGTGCTGGGCACCTATCAGCCTCCATTGCATGGAGGTGGCTGGCCGCCCTGTGCAAATACTCTTTTCCTGCTTGCAAAATGAATGATTGCATGTTCACTACAGAAAACTTAGAAACTATAAGCCGGGCGCGGTGGCTCACGCCTGTAATCCCAGCACTTTGGGAGGCTGAGGTGGGCGGATCACAAGGTCAGGAGTTCGAGACCAGCCTGGCCAATATAGTGAAACCCGGTCTCTACCAAAAATACAAAAATTAGCTGGGCGTGGTGGTGGGGGCCTGTAGTCCCAGCTACTCAGGGGGCTGAGGTAGAAGAATTGCTTGAACCCGGGAGGCAGAGGCTGCAGTGAGCCGAGATCGTGCTACCAACAGAGCGAGACTCTGTCTCAAAAAAAAAAAAAAAAAGAAAGAAAGAAAACTTAGAAACTACAAAAAAGCACAAAGGAAAAATGATCACTGAAAACCCCGCCCGCCTCAGCCATCGCCGCAGAGCACAAGGGAGAAGCCACCGGCCCGGGGTCCGCAGGCCCCATGGATGCCACCGCCCAGAGAACCGCACCGCCCTGCCCCCACAACCCCAGTTGCTAGCGGGAGAGCGCCTGGGTTTTCCATCAAGGGCATTTTGGCTGAGAATCTGTTAGGCCCGGTATTCTGGTTCCCATCTCGCTTTTTAGCAAAGCTGCTCAGCCGCCGCCAGCCTCGCTCGAGTGACTGGAGACGCCAGGGAGGAACAGATGGCTCTTGGTCTGGCGCTTCTGTGTCCCTGGCACTTCTCACGTGATCATTATATCTGAATGGGGGAAAAAATAATGCTTTTTCTATAACTAGAAGAAATGTTTCTCCTAATCAAAAAAGACACCACTATCTTCAGATGCAAATGACACGTTCCAATATTAACTGCGCTTTACATCAAAGGCCCCCTCAGGACAGAAATCACAGCTGCAACAGGAAGAGCAGAGCTACAGGGAAGGCGGGGGCTCGGCTGGGCCCTGTCCATGCTGGGCCCGAACACCTCACGCTCCCCAGCTTATCTGGCAAAGATAATCTCCTGGCTGCTTCTGGTGACTTTTAAAGTTCAACAAGCAAACGAACAAACAAAATGGAGTGCAATCATATGCACTCTAGGTCTGACCTCATCAGAGGACCATTTACATGTTTTGAAGGGGTTTTATTTCAGGTATTCGAGGGTATTCACGGGACCTTGTTTGAGCGAACAATTGCCCTTCTAGATGTGGCAAACACAGCCCACCACTAGCAGAAGGAAAATTCTTGGCCCCTTTGTGACTATACCACAATATTGACAACATACAGAAAAGAAATAATGTCCCAATACATGAAGTATACAGTCACCAAAGAGGCTACTAACGCCGCACTTTGATGGGGTGCTTCTCAGTTTCAAATGTATCTACGTATCTCGCTAGTAAAAAGCAAGTCATAGCTTCAGAATCTAAACCCCTGGTTCTAAAATCCTGCCATGACATGGGAATCACCCAAGAGGCTGCCCCAACAGCCACAAGTTCTGGGTCGGGGGGCGGGAGGGAAGCGGCCCAGGTTGGGGGTGGGAAGGAGGCAGCTCAGGTGGGAGGTGGGAGGGAGGCAGCCTGGTTGGGGGCCGGAGGAAGGCAGCCCAGGTCAGTGGGGGAGGGCAGCAGCCCAGTGGGGCGTGGCCTGCTGTCTCTCTCCTAGTCCTTGCCTCTGCTCAGGGTCTCTCCAGGTAGGCACAGCATGGCCCCTGTGGCTATCTGGGAAGAACCCTTCAGGGAGGCACAGTGCTGGGATTTCCAGCCCAGGTCCTGGCCTCCTGCACCAGGGCCAGACCTGCCCTCATTCAGCACCTCACAGGGTGTGCTCCTGAGCAGGAGGCAGCACCAGTAACCCAGGTGCCGCCTGCCAGGGCAGAAGGAATGTGGCCAGGGCCAGCCTAGGCTGGAGGAGAGGGGCTTGGGCCTGAAGAGTGGCGACAGCCCATCATAAACCCAGGGCTCAGGCTGCCCCTATCTTGTGACCTTGGGTAAGATGCACCCCTAAACTGGCCTCCCTGTCCTCATTGGGGTGAAGTGGAAATAAAAACAGCCACCTCTTTGGAAAGTTCAAGAGTGGAGGACTGCTTGAGCTCAGCAGCTTGAGACTAGTCTGGGCAACATGACAAAACCACATCTGTACAAAAATTATAAAAATTAGCTGGGCATGGCAGGCACCTGTGATCTTAGCTACTTGGGAGGCTGAGGTGAGAGGATCACTTGAGCTTGGGAGGCTGACGACATGGTGAGGCCTGATCTTGCCACTGCATTCCAGCCTTGACAACAGAGCAAGACCCTGTCTCAAAGCAAAACCAAAACCAAAAACAAACCAGCCACCTCAAGAGCAGGACTGAGATTTCACCAACACAAACCCTCAAAGTGTGTGGCCCAGAGCCTGCCACGCTGCTGCTGCTGCTGGTGGTGCTGGTGATTACAGATATTTCTGCAGGAGCTGGGAACTCAGACAGATGTGGGTCGAGCCCTCTTCCTGGCTAACACCAGGCTATCATGGATGATCAGAGGATGGTGCATCCTGGTCCATTACTGCCTGCAGCTCAAACCACCCAGCCAAGGAGTTGGAGGCACTTGGAAGGCAGAAGCCAGGTCTGAGACTTGGTCATAGGAACCCAGGCACACAGTGGCCATGCCACAGAACTGTGTCTCTTGACTGGCTGCCGTGAGCTCTGGGCAGCAGGGCTGTGGGGGTCAAATCACAGGCTCGAATTGAGCCGAGGGCCCAGTGCCACCGTCCTCTAGCTGCAACTCACTAAGGCAATCACTTCACCTCTTGGCTTCCATCCTCCATCTGAGAAATGGGGATAACCACAACAGTTAGAGAGAACTACCCTGCCAGAGTCACTCCGGGAAAAGACAGACATCTTCCAGGACATCCCCCATGCACTTCAGGAAGGAGCTGTTGACCAGGCGCAGTAGCTCACACCTGTAATCCCAGCACTTTGGGAGGCCAAGATGGGTGGATCACTTGAGGTCAGGAGCTCAAGACCAGCCTGGCCAACATGATGAAACCCCGTCTCTACTAAAAATGCAAAAATCAGCAGGGTGTGCTGGCCGACACCTGTAATCTCAGCTACTTGGCAGGCTGAGGCATGAGAATTGCTTCAACCTGGGAGGTGGAGTTTGCAGTGAGCCGAGACTGTGCCACTGTACTCCAACTCCAGCCTGGGTGACAGAGCAAAACTGTCTCAAAAAAAAAAAGAAGGTTCTGATCTCCCTGGCATCTGAGACAAAGGCAAATTAACTTTTGTCCTGCAAGGAACTCACCTGTGTGGCGGGGAAAGCTCTAAGGGAGAGGTTTCCTTACTCAACCCAAGCCAGGGGCAGGAGCCAGCCCCGAGGTGACAGTCAAGCCCAGTGCAAGAACCGGCGAGAGAGGGGAGGACAGGTGCCCTAAGGGTCAAGTGAACCTGAAATGTTGTTAGTTCACATTTGGTTTTACTATCCTCCTGTTTCAGCAGCTGTATGAGGTGGCCGCAGTAAAAAGCCCTCTAATGTCCTGTCAGTATGTCCAGCCTTGTTCTAGGCTGGCTTTAAAATCAGTTTTCCACCAACCTGTATCCTGAACGACTTCTATGGACGACTGGGAAGAGAGAACTTTATAGAAGGGGGTGGTAGACTTATCAAATAAAGCCGCAGAGCTGGAGAGGCAGTGGTGCACGTCCGTCTGCTTTCTTGGGGTCTGTCGCCTCCACGGCCCCCCTGCTCCTGTTCACCCTGTGCACATGCCCTTGGCGGGGGGCTTTGTGGCGGCTCCCACTACAGAAGCTGAGAGTATTTCCCCACCCCTTGGCTTTGGATTCCACCATATGTCATGCTTTGGCCAGTGGAATGTGGGTAATTACAATGTGACGGAAGGATGAAGGAGCATTTGCATAACTGGGCAAGCCCTCTTGCACCTATGCCGTTGCCTTAGAAGACAGGCTGTGGCCATCACACAGGACCAAAGAGGAGGATGAGAGAGATGAAGGGCAGAGTCATCCCAGCCAAGACGGCAGAGCTTAGTCCAGCCTAGATCAGCCCCCACAGCTGTGAGAAATGAACGGGTGTTATTGTTTTGGGGCGCTGAGGGTTTCTGGTTGCTTGTTACGTAGTGATAGCTGACTGCTGCAGTAAGAAGTAAAAAGGGATGAGCTTAGAATACAGAGAGGACAAATAAGCTGTTGAGCACAGATGGCGTTTTAGTCGTCAGCCTTCCACGAACTGGACGTATTGCAAAGGGGCTTTGCGGCCCTCGGTGGGTATCCAAGATGGCGGTCACCCACCCGAGGGCAACAGGTTGTGACAAAGTGGTTAGCAAGGTCCGTCCAGCTGCTAGACTAGAAATATATCTGCATATTAATGTAATTATGAAGGTTATGATTAGCTCATCTGACTGTATGATTCACATACTAAGTTTTGTTCTGAATACTTGCAGAGACATTTATATAGTTTTTTTTCTGTGATTCCTTACAGGAGAAAAAAAATAGTCCTGGAACTTGACACAGAATAAGAACTCAGCAGGTAGCAAAAACTCCTAATTAGAAACACTCAGTAAAGAATTCGTCACTTCCTTTTAAAGAATGGTGTAATTACTTTTAAGAATTGAAAAATTGCTTCATTTGATCAAATATTTTGATTAGCAAAGAAATTAATTGTACTGTATCTTCATTTGTATTTACAGTGAATAAATGAATGCTAAAAATAACAACAGCAGGAAAACTGCCTGTCAAAAAACAAAAAAAAGATAAAACATTAAAAAATCCAGATGAAAATAAAGTGGAAGCTCTGAGGAAGCTTCCTGCTACAGACCTTGCTGCCGGATCAAGAAACACGCTGGCCTCCGAAGGGCTCCGCACATGCCTGAGGGGAGCCTCTGGTGTGTCAGGAGGTCGGGCCCAGGTGACTGCCCAATGGGAGTAGATACTCCAGCACAGTGTTTGCACAAGTGAGGCAGTTTCATCAGAATTCCAGGCACAGTTCCAGACTTTCTGGTGGCATAACTGCTGCCCAGGCCTGGGATCTCTTACCACACAAGGATTCCTTCTGGGCAATGAACAATAGCTAATCCAAAGATTCCAGAACTTCCTTTGCAAAGACCATCAGTCAAGTCAAGCTTCAAGTGAATTCAACCAGTGCTTACTGAAAACTGACCCCAGAGTACCAGTGGCCTTCCTTCTTGTGTCTCCTTTACCCAGACACTGGGCTGGGCAACAGGGAATCTTCTCTGGTCCTCACATCACCCTGCGAGGCAGCCACGGCTCTCCCTGCTGTGCAGACAAAGTAAGTGGGGCTCGGTTCCAAGCTCCTGCCAGCCGGTGCTGGAGATGGAGATTGTTTGACTCCAAAGCCACGCTCCTCCGATTTCAGCACAAGTCCAACCACCTACCACATGTGCAAGAACGCAGAAGCCTCTGAAAATCCGAACTCAGCAACACTGATGAGGGCTCATGACATGCCAGGCACACTCCCAGGCAGGAGTGACAGAGCAGTGAACCAAAAGCCCTACCCCTGGAGAAGCTGATGTTTTGAGACACCCACCCAGGGAGGCAAGCAAGGGTGGAGTGGACCACCCTACTAGCTCGGCCCCTTGGCTCTCCTCACAGAATCCTTTGCCATGGGCCTCCCCCACTGTCCTGCCCTGGCCATGCCCAAAGTGTGGTGCCTCCCAAGCCCCAGGCTCTGCAAGCACTAACTCTCCTCCCAGGAAGCCCCATCTCCTGCGATCCACCTGGGCTGGCTCCTCAACTCAAGCTTCTAGACTCGGTGCAAGCTCATCAGAAAGCCGTTTCTGCCCATCCTTCCCCCACTTACAGAGTTAGATCCTCCTCCTCCTCGTCATCCTCCTCGTCCTCCCGCTCCTCCTCCCAGCTCTCTGTGCTTACCTCAGTCATACAGCTTGACGTTCACAAAGGATCTATGCTGAGGCCTTTGCAAACACTGATTCACAAATCCTCCAGTTGCATCGAATTGCCATACAATGCAAAGAAATAAAAGGGAAACATTTAAGCCGCCCTTCGACCCTTTAATGATTCAATAAATTCATGGGTGAAGTCATTTATAAAAACTATTAAAATAAATTATTCCACCCAAATAAATTCTATGCCACCTAATCACATCATTACTGAACATTAAACATGCACTCACTGGAATAGGATAGAATACAAAAATAATAAGGAATGCAAATGTTTGGTGTTTGCTGTGTTAGGTACCGGGCAAAGCTCTTTCTGCATTCACTTGCTTAATCCAAACAATGAGCCTAGGAGGCACACACCAGACAGTTCTCATTGCTCAGGAAGGGAGCAGGGAGCATGGACCTTGGAACTGGCTGCCATTTGAATCCCAGCACTAGCATTTCTAACGGTGTGACTGGGAACAAATGCTTCTACCTCTCTGTTTCCTCCTCTGGTACCCCAGAGTACCAGTGGCCTTCCTTCCTGCGTCTCCTTTACCCAGGCACTGGGCTGGGCAACAGGGAATCTTCCCTGGTCCTCACATCACCCTGCGAGGCAGCCAGGGCTCTCCCTACTGTGTAGACAAAGTAAGTGGGGCTCGGTTCCAAGCTCCTGCCAGCCAGTGCTGGAGATGGAGATTGTTTGACTTCAAAGCCACGCTCCTCTGATTTCAGCACAAGTCCAACCACCTACCACATGTGCAAGAACGCAGAAGCCTCTGAAAATCTGAACTCAGCAACACTGATGAGGGCTCATGACATGCCAGGCACACTCCCAGGCAGGAGTGACAGAGCAGTGAACCAAAACCCCTCCCCTGGAGAAGCTGATGCTTTGAGATGTCCACCCAGTTTCCTCTTCTGCAAATGAGGCTCCTTGTCCCCGCCACAAGCCTGAACCCCAGGACCTGGCCCAGAGCCAGGCACACATTCTCATTCTCACTTGCTGAGTGTGGAGTGTTGAGATTCGTCCAGTCCAGGGCAGCATCCTGAGCCAGAACATAAGCAGCCACACTGCAAGTTACCTTCCTGGGAGTGTGATGATAGTTAAGATGCTGGTAACATCTGAATTCTGGATTTTCTCTGCAAGACTTACTCGGGACAATACGTTCTTGGATTGGTGTCTGGCTTCCTGATGGGATCATGACCTCGTAGAATCACTGGTGCCACTCAACTCTGATGCTTACTTAATTGATCCACAAATGGTTGTCGTGGCTCTGGAGGGACCAAATGAATGGGGAGCCTGCCTGGGCTGGTGGCACCATTGTCCATTTCGTTTGAACATACAGAGGGCTTCCCGTGGAGGCTAGGAATCAAGAAGAATCCTGATCCGGATTCAGGGGAATGAGGCGGGAGTGCTCTGAGGATGCCGGAGTGAGTGATTAACACAAGGCAGGTGCTGGAGGTGAGCAGGGCCCCTGCACCATGCACTTCCATGGGGCCTGGCTGAGGTCCTGCCACGGGGTGTGCTGCATAGGGCTGGGGCACAAGGGAGAATGAGACCTCATCCCTGCCCTTGGGGACATGGGACTCCCGGGTGTGAGAAAATTCAACCACACAAATTAAAACGACTACCAGAAATTCTGTCTGATGTGCTTCTTCCAACCTCACCAACAGGTTCATGATAGCCTTGTCTTCTGCCTGACACAGCTGTGTTTGAAAGGGGGCCTCTCTGTTGGGGAAGGGGGCCCATGTGACCACCCTTCATGGGGCCCAGGTGGGGAAAGCCTGGTGTGGCCCCCTCACATTCCTGCACGAGGCATCAGAAACTGTGCCTCTCTCCCTTTGGCGGCCGGCCCTGTGCTACTTCCAGCAGAACTTGCCTGGCAGGTGCCGAGTTCCTACCCTGTCCATGCCACCGGGAACTGGGGTTGGGGGGCACTCATACTCCTTCCTAAAGGGAGGCTTCAGAGCCAGGCCGGACCCAGGACACATGCGTGGAGGAGTTGCAGTGTTGCCACAGCCAATCAGGACTTGGGAGAAAGTTCGAACAGCAAAAGAATAACTCTGTAGCATGCTCAGTGAGAGCGAATCTTAGCAGTCTGTGCAACCTCACTGCCGACCTTCTGTGATGATGTGACTTTCATTCTGTTGCTTTTATCACTATAGCTGGCTTTAAGGAGGCGATCCATATTAGTGCAGATACTGGGGCAGTGCTAGGACCTGTGTAGACACAGATGCTCTAGAGGAAGCAGACACCACCCATGCCAAGGACCCTGGGCTTCCCCCAGGAGGGCAGCCAGCTCACCAAGTTCAAAGGCTGAGGAGAAGTGGATGCGTCAGGTCTGCCTGGTTCCTGATGGATCACCACGTGACGATGCCTGTAGGCCCTGCTGGGTGGCCTGGAATAATACTCCTTCTGCCTCAGCGTGGCACAGGGGGCCCAGCAGCCCCTGCCCCCTGGCCTGTCACCAAGGTCCCCCGAAAGTCATTACCCCTCACGACTTGCCACAGTGCCACCCACCTACAGGACAGCAGGTAGTGAATTTTGCATTGGCAAGTAGAGAGTGAGTGAAATTCAAGGGAAATAGTTAAAATCGCTGAAATTCCATCAAGAAGACTTAGCTTTTCTTGCCATCAAGAGCAAGGGTAAATAACAGTAATGCTAATATCTTCATAATTTACTTAATTTATTTACAACTATCTTGGAGCCCTTTCCTGAAAAGGAAACTTCCCCATTCTTTATCATATTTATTAAAAATACATGGACACCATTATATTTACAATAAAAAGCAAGATAAATTGAAGTAACACTGTTGGCAGTGAATATAAATATGATGTTCATAAAAGATTACAAACATTTTGATGTACTTTGCCGTAAGTCCCTTTGGTTGAAAACTACATTCTCCAATTCTCTATTGGAACAAAAACCATCTTCAAGTTATTTAACATATAACTGAATGACTTTTGAGATCATATATTTCCACACAAAGTGAGGAAAGATTTCATTGGCTCTCTGCTTGCTAGAATGCGACAAAATAATTACTCTGTATTGAATAAGGGTGTGTTTTGTTACAAAAATTCCATTATTTCCATGGTAATAAAGTAGAAAGATTTTATATGGGTTTCTACTATGTCTTTTAAAAATTCTATTTCTGCACTGAGCGTTATTTTTACACTCACTGAAGAAACTGAAATTGCACTTTAAGATTTAAGGGAAATGTTAAACGGGAACGATTTTCTAAAAACAAGGTGATACTCTACACTTTGCACATGGCACTTTGAATGTAAAATGTTTTTCTAGAAGTGAAGAAGGGGTATTTGCTGGGAAGAGAAATCCAGATGATGTTTTTCCAGTTTGTGGGAATCTCATGAGTGTGCTGCCGTTTAGGTCTTCTCTCTCTCTCTCTCTTTTTTTTCCTGTTTTGCTTTTTTCACCAACCCACTGGGTAGCATTTTTTGCTTCGATGCCTTGTTCCTCTTTTATGTCATCTAGGCTAGCGCTTCTCATCTTGAAAGGGGGTGTGATGGCTTCCAGGCGCATGGGACCAACTCCTTGCTCCCATCTGAAAAGACACACGTCGCCTTCCCTTCCCGGAAGCTTGCAGGCCTCTGTGCCTCCTGGGCTGGTTCTCAAGCCCAGGACGGTGCCAGGAGGATGACCCCCAGGCCTGCTGCACAGCAAGACTCCTGGGCTCGCCCACCATGGAGCCCTGGGGTGGGCTGGTCTGCACAGCAGCAGCCTGGGACCTGCACTTGAAGAAGCGCTGTCTGATTTGAGTGGTGCTTAACGAAGCAGTATAAGGAAGGAGCAAGGACGGGGGAGGACTCCTGGTCAAGCCACACAGCAGGGGCAGGAAGCCCGCGGCCGTTGCTGTGAGAAGAGCTCAGATCATTTTCACGTGCTGCTGTGACAGGCAGAGGAGGCATAAGAATAATAGGAGTTTTGGAAGACAGACTTGATGGCATACTCAATAGAAGAAATGGATTATGAGTAGGTGTAAAATTGTCATCTTTACTCTCTGTGTGCTTTCAGTCTACGCAAGGTCTTAGGCAATGTCGTAACTACAATTCCAGTTTTTCTCTCTCTGAGAATGGATTGCTTTGGCTAGGGATTACTCGCGGTGAACTTGCTTTGCGGGGAGAGTTGCCGACTGTCTTAATTACATTTTGGTAATCTCCTTTTAATTACTTACCTCCTGTGCATCCCCCAGAGGAAAAGGATGGGTGGTATCATATTTAATGAGCTTAAGGATGATGCATCAACTACTCCTATTATTTGTTACTTCTTTTCCCTTCTATTAGAAAAACACAGCAACCCGGGGTTAAACTGGAGAAGTTCATGATGAATGCGGTTGGGGGTTCCTCCCCAGCTGCCTTCCTCTGCAGCCGCCCTGGAGGAGGCTGGCCGGCTCCCTCGCTCAGGAGTCCTCAGCGATTCTTCTTTATTCAGACAAAGGGACCTAAAACTCTGCAAGCAAGGTTGCAGGACCCAGGTGGTCTGTCTCTGCCACCATCTCCTGCTCCCTGCAACTAAACAGGACAAAAGAAAACTCACACCTACTCTGTCATTCACTACGAACAGAACTGCTTGCTCTGTGGTCACCCCCCTCCTCCTGCCACATCATGTTCCTTGCAGTTTTGTGCTGCCCTTCCAGCCCAGAAATCGTCTGCTCAAGCATTTACTCATCCTCCTGGTAAATGCATGCTTTTCCGATTTGTCTGAGCTCAGGTGTTAGCTTCTCGGCCAGGTGCATCATCCTAGGCCAATTTAGGGGGTTGATCCCATTGAATTCCCAGAAAACAGATCACACACTGACGAGACAGGGCAGGAGGTGGCCGGTGCAAGGACGCATACCGCAGGGACAGTGCCACCTCTGCATCCACGGTTCCCAGCCCACCGTGATCAATCCCTGTCTCCAAGCACATTTCTCCTCTTCACTCTTGCTGCAATTTTCTCACTAGGATGTTGAGCAGGTTCTTCTGGAGGTGAAGGCGACTCTTTGCCAAGAGAACTGGGCAGAACTAACCAATGTTGGGGGAGGCAAGCTGACAGTACATAAAGCTTTAGGAATGTTCTCTCCTTGGTCCAGCAATTCCAGGATCAGCAGAGGCTCCTTGCGACTTGTGCATGAGGACACTCAGGCCACGCTGAGGGGGGACAGCA